CACGGTGGGGTGAATCCAGACCGAGGGGACGGGGCTCTAGGGGAAGTCTGCGCATCCTGGGGTGGCGGCGGCAGAGGCAGGAGGCAGCTCTGAGGCCTGCGGGTGCCCTCCCGTGGGGCCAGGACTGGACGTCTGGGCCCTGGAGCCAGGCGGAAGGACATGGGGACCCCAGGTAGTGAGCTAGCGCTGCTCTGGGCCTGGGTGCGAGCGGGTCCGGTGGGCCTGACCCGCAGGGAGCCGCGTGGGCGTCCTCAGGGCCCGCGGCTGGGAGTGCAGGGGCCAGGGCGGAGCTGGCCGGAGGCTGTGGTGAGCCCGGCCTCCCACCACCGCCCATGGGCATCGAGGGGAGAAGGGGAGTGACTATGTGGCGCTCCCCTGTGGTCTTCCGGACAGAATTTTAAGGGGAGCAAGGCCCTGCTGTCCTGCAGGGGGGGGCTTGGGCAAGAAAACGTGGGCGTGACTGCCTCAGCTGGGAAGCCGGTGAGCCAGAACCTGACCAGCTGGCAGGTGGACCGGGGCCAGCTGCCCCCGCCCGCCCTTGGGAGCACAGCGGGGCAGGCCTGGGCCCGAGGAACCCACCTCGTCCCCCATGTGGGGCTGGAACTCAAACTTGAGGGGCGGGCAGAAGACCTGGCTGCACATGTCCATGACCGTGTGCTTGTCGCTCCGGGGGTCCAGGTTGTCCACTGCACTCTCGATGACGTCCAGCCCCTCGTGGCGAGACGTCTCCAGGTTGTACTCGGCGGAGAGGTAGGTCCGGAAGGTGCGGGCCAGGCTGGCGTGAAAGCCCAAGTCGCAGCACTGGGAAGGGGCACAGGACAGAAGGCGCCGTGAGACGGGAGGCCGCCACGTGTCCGCCCACCACAGTGACCGACGTGGCCCTAGGGATCTGTCCTGCAACGCCTGGGGGAAGCTGGGAGGGGGCGGTGGCTGGGCGAGAGCAGAGGTTCTCCTGACTCCCCACGCTGCCCACACCCCCTCATCTCTAAGCCCTCACAGGCTCCCCGCGCTCCCTGCCGAAAGATGCCCCTTCCTCCAGGAAGCCTTCCTTGGTGTTCTCGCCACCTGCGCTTACACCAGGGCGCCTTCCAGCGGGTCTGCCTCTCCTGCCACCCCCTCACTGCCAGTGGGTGTTGCTAGGGCCTACGAGCAGGTCAGGCAAGCCCTGAGAGCGCAGGCCGCGGGCTCCTGTCCACTGCCTCAGCACCCAGAGCTAGTCGGTGCCCAATAAACACGTGGTCAAAGAGAAAGGAAAGGGCCGGGGAGTGTGAAGAGGAAAGCTGCCCGGCAGGACAGAGGCGGTGTCTGGACTCGGGTCCCCTCTGCACCAAGGCGAGAGCAGCGGCCCTCAAATGCCAGTCAGGACGCCAGGCCGAGAGGAGAGGCCGGTCTAGGCTGTCCGCCAGCCTGTGCCTCTCCGCTGCCTCTCAGGAGCCAGCGCTGCACCCTCCTGCCCTGCGTTGCCCGACTGCGCCCCAGGTCATCCGTGGCCTCGCTGCTCTGAGCACATGTGGCCGGGGAACTGGCCCTGGCGCCCGCCGCATGCAGATGTCTTTACCGCCCTGGGAAGGCCCCAGGGCGTGAGTGTGTCCGTTACCCCTCGCCCCCAACCGCAGCAAAGGGCCTGGGGCAGAGAAGGGCCCCGGGAAGCTGAATACAGACCACCCCCCTCCGCGGCAGCTGGCGGCCCTCCCCACCCACCAAGGCTAAGCCACGGAGGGCCACCCGGTCCCAGGCCACGGGCGCTCCTGCCTGCCCTCCCTCCGGCAGGCGCCCCTGCCACCGGGCCCGCCAGGTGAGCACAGGCCAGCCCCCTCGGTGGCAGAACAGGCCACGTCGCTCACGTCGATGAGGTCGGAGACGTCGTGGATGTAGTATTTGCTTATGGCCGCGTTGGCGGCGGCCAGGTTCAGCAGGTAGTCGTTCCGGGCCTTGGTGCACTTCAGCTTGTTCTCGGAATACTTCGCCTGCCTCTGGAAGAAGAAACGAGCAGCCGTCAGAGCAGAGCCTCGACAGGTGGGTCTGGGCCCTTGTCCCAGCCGTGGCCCGTGCTCCGAGCACGCACCCCCGGTCCCTTCACCGGGCTGCTCCGCCGCTGACCTCACTTTCGGTCTTTCGTGAGCTCACACATTTTAAACTCTGAAAGGAAATCAAAGATATCTTGGTCGAGTTCATCTGCATTACGAGTGAAGACAGCTGAGGAGCAGTGACTTGTCCGAGCACCACATGGCTAAAGAGCAACAATTCTGAATAGCAACTTGAGTCTGGTCACAGCGCTGTACCACAGGCGTTCCCCACTTTCTCAACAGAATATTTCATCACTCAAAAGCTGGGGGTCAATTCCCCCCTCTCCCCTGCCTCAGGGCCTACAGACCACTCATCTGCCTCTCTGGATAATCTGTTCTGGATTTTTGGATGCTTCATATGAATAGACTTCTCCAATATGGGGCCTTTGGGTGGGGTTCTTTCATTTAGCAAAAATTAATTTTTGTTGTAATACAAACCAGTGCTTCGTTCTTTTTGACGGCCATGTAATATTCCACAACAAGGATCAATCGCTATTTCATCCATCTGTTCATCGGCTGATGGGCATCTGGGTTGTATTGACTTTTTGGCTGTTGTGAATAAAGCTCCCGAGAGCATGCATATGCAGGTGTTCTATGAACTGGGTTTCACTTATTTCCAGCAGGTACTAAGAGTGGAACTGTTGAGTCATATGGTAACTATGTCTCTTTTTAACCTTTAGAGAAACTCTCAAACGATTTCCCAAAGTGGTCGGCCATGTTCCAGTCCCTCCAGCAGATGTGAGGGCCCCAAATGTCCCATCCTCACCAACACTTGCTATTGTCTGCTTTTTTCATTTCGGTCACCCATTAGGTGTGACAAGGAATCTCACTGTGTTGTTGTGTGTGTGTTCCAAAGATGACATTTATCCCTGGTTTGACTGAGAAACTGTCAACATACTCATCCTATATGAGTTTAAAGCAGAGGGAAATAAAGTCTAATTCACATCTATTGTGAAATGAGGATCACCATAAATTCAGTCAGCCTCTGTCTTCTCACAGAGATACAGAGAAAAAGAAAAGAAAGGAGACAGAGGGAAAATAATTTCCTCCTGTGATAAGAACTCCCAGGATTTTCTCTTACTACAGTCATCGTGTGGTACATTCACACCGAGCTTTGCTTTGCATTTCCTTAGTGAGTAATTATGCTAAGCGTCTTTTCATGTGCTTTTAGGCGGCTTGTATATATTCTTTGGAGAAATGTCTATTCAAATCCTTTGCCCCTTTTTAAAATTAGGTCTCAGCCTGCTTATTGCAAAGCATATTCTTCCTTTGCCTTTGGAATTTACCGTGAAATTCTACTTTCTTTGTATCGGGTTACGTTTCCAGGTCCTGTTGGATTTTGTTCCCACTCAATCTCTTACAATTTTTAAGAACTGTAAGATCAAATAGTCATATAATTAGTCTCATAGAGGCCCAAGTAACCATCTGGTGCGGTACATTCGACACCGAGAAAGAGGCAGGAAATGTCTGCTGATTGCATGGAATGAACGAATGCGATGATTCAACAAGAAAAATCACAGCCTTTGGAAAGAAAGGAAGCAGAGAAGCAGCCCAGCTAGGCAGCCACTGAGCGGCATATCCGTGGCAGACGTCTCCAACGGTCGCAGCTCCGCAAGGGCTTCCGCAACCTCCACGGAGCTCCGGGCAGCCCCCTGACTCCATCGAGGTGACACGCAATCACCGTCAGATTTAAAAACTGCAATTCAGAGAGCTGTGGTAGACGTGACACTCGCCACTTGCAGCCCGTCTGACTCATCTTCCGCGCTCAGGGGCGCGGGGACCCCAGGCGGCCCCCGGCTCGGCGGGGGCCG